AATTTTTAAAAAAAAGATGAAGGAATGGGGTTGTAGGTTGTCTTAAAAAAATACTGCAAATAGCTGATCCTCATAAAGCACTAATGATGAAAGTCATAATTTGAAAACTTTCAAATCAACCAACGAGAGTTACAAATTGATGACTCTCATCACGACAATAGAAGAAAGTTACAATCTGACGACTTTCACAATAACAGATAATAGAAGTTACAATCTGATGACCTTCACAAAAATAGACGAGAGTTATAAATTAACGACTCTCGCGTTTTCAAGAGCCAAATGCAAGGATTACAAAATGACGATCCTAGTAACACTCGAAGAAAGAGATTAAAAATTAACGATCTCTTCAAGACCAAACGCGAGGGTCAACCCCCGCGTTTCAAACTCCAAATGCGAAGCTCACCTCCTCGTTTCAAAGATCAAACGTGAGGCTCACCCCCGCGTTCCAAGTGTCAAACGCAAGGCTCACCCCCACATTCCAAGCTTTAAACGCGAAGCTCAGCTCCTTGTTTCATAGGCTAAACGCGAGGCTCGTTCCAAACGCGAACCTCACATTTGACTGGTTCAAACTCGATTTGAACGGTTTCAAAACTATTTTACACGTAATAGGACCATTAAACCCCCATTATGGAGTGATTTAAGGGGTCAGTTACACCCCTTAAACCCTATAAATAGCTGAGTTTACAGCTGAAAAAGGGTTAATGGGGTTAGAGCTTGATTAAGGCATTTTGAGAACTTTTTGGCATGGCTTTTGAACCATTTCGGTTAAGGAACTCTAAGATTGATTGTTTAGCCTATTTCAGTTAAAAAGGATTAAATATCCTTTCTGAAATTAACTCTTTCGCAAAGTTCTTAAATTCTTTTAGAGTTTAAAACTTGCCTTGTAAGTTCTTCCCGACGTTAAGTCAAGAGGAATAGACAACGTTCCACGAAGTGAAGTGCTCGGAGCGTCAACGAGATACAAGATTTAAGCTCTCATCGTCACCAAGAAGAACCCAGTTTTAAACAAAGGTAAGGATCTCCGTCGATTCCTTCTCTCTTTTATAAATCGGAAAACCGATAAAGAAGAATTGTAATTTCTTTTTCTAAGTCAGTTAGAGAGAGATTACTGTGAAAAATTGTATTTATTCTTTTCCTAAGTCAGTTAGGGAGATTAATACAAATCCATTTATTCTCATTTCTTCTTTTAATTTTCCCCGCAAATAAAAGATGGCGACTCTGCTAGGGATAAACTTTTTCACCGATGAAGAGGTGGTGACGCAATCCGACACCGAACTTGTGGGAACAACCGTCAAAACTCTGACCGTAGAGTTCGACCAAGCCAAGTATGAGGAGTTCCTCTCCTCCGGATCCCTTAGCCCAAGACTATGCGTAAGATCCGTAAAGTCTCCAAAATTCCGGGATGATTTTGGAGGGCTTTGAGACCATTGACAAAATCTTGGGGGGAGAGCGGAACACTTGTAATCGTTTGAGGGCTAGAAGCAATTTTCTCTTTAACTCTTTCTTATTCTTCTTGTTTTTCTGGCTTTTATCATTTGCATCATCCTTTTGTTTGTCAGTGCAGTGCAGAAAGGTCATCTATTCTATGTTGTCCTTCATCAAGATGTCCCCATCAAGCACCTTATAGGCTTTTGAAATTTTACATTTCACTCCTTTTTAGCATACTTTCCCAGTTTTATTCTGGGCATGAACCATGTTATTAGCATAAGTTCGTCTTTTCAAAGTTTTAACTTATTTCCCATTCACAGTTTCCTTCTAATTAACTGTAATAAGAAAAGTCGTTTACAACAATTAACTAACTAGAAATATTGACAAAGTAATAAGTTTATCATTATTTCTCATAGTTCAAGTCTTCCTAAAAAGGAATTTGTCATTACAAATTGTAACTAGGTCAATATGCAAAAGAATTCTAAATTGATGGATTCACGTATTATATTATTATCACTACATCTCGGGGAATAAATTAAAAAAAAAAAAAAAAGGGATCACATGCCACGAGCGCTCCCCCCATCTCCATCTCCATACCTGTAGCAGGTGAGCTAGAGCTACAAAAATAGAGAGGCCTCCTGCTCCCCAGGCTCTGGGGAAACGCATGACGCCTTAAATCCCTTTCAGTATATTACCAAAAAGCCCCTGACGAAACCCCCATATTACCAAAAAAAACCAAGCGTCCCTTCCCAGCGCGACCTTCGGGAGCTGAAGTTACAGGGATGAAGTAAAATGCGTAGCCGTAGAGGGGGCAGGTCATTGGGAGCTGAGCACAGTGGCGAGGGCAATTTGGTAAATAGGGCCAACAACAGGTCGATAAAGGTCTCTTTCCACCACCATCATCACACCACCACAAGCGCGAAGGAGCAAAAGAACGGCTGCAGCATCAAGGAGCGCAGTAGGAGGCCACCTCCCCCTCTGCCTTTTTTTCAGGAAACTCCTTCGCTCTTTCTCTCTCTCTCTCTAAAATTCTATTCTGTCCCTCTCTCTCTCTCTCTTTCTCTGTCTCCACATCCAGAATTCCCAAATGGAGGAAGAAAACAATGGAAAAAAAATATATACTCTAGCCTACCCTCAAGGCTGTGAGATTACTCTCTCTCTCTCTCTCTCTTCCTAATGGCCCAGCTGGACCAAATTTATGAGAGAGAGAGAGAAACAAAGGTGGGTGAGAGAGAAGAAAAGAAAGAGGATAGGGAGAGAGAGAGAGAGAAAGATGGGAAAGACTTCCAACCAAAACCATTGAATCCAACCAAACACCTCACACCCTCTCCACCTCCTTCCACTCCAAAGGGGCAAAAAATAAAAAATCAAAAAATCAAAAAAAAAAAAAAAATCCAAAAAAAAAAACAAAAAAAAAAAAAAAAAAAAAAAATCCTAGAGAGAGGGAGGGGGGTTGCTTCTTAGCCATAGAAACTGGTTCCAGAAATGCCCCTGCCCCCCCTCTCTCTCTCTCACCCTCTGCAACCCCAAAAATCTACATCACCTCCATCATCAAAACAAAAGGGAAATAAACACACCAACAACAACAAGACTCCTCCAATCCCCCAAATTTTTATATGGGGGGGCCTCTTTTGGGAAGAGATTTTTTTTTGTCTTTGGTCAAGAGAGAGAAAACTGGGGAAGGAACCTTCCCTTTCTCTCTCTACTACCCA